GCTCGGAGTTGGAAAGGTGTTAAGTGCTTTTAAGTTCCGAGGACATTTTCAAACTTGCGTTGGCTCGGTGAGGCTTTCAGCAGAGTATTTGTGTGTTTGTGCAGAACACTGTGAAACTGAGGGATGAGAGTGCACCATCGCAAAGGTCTCTGGGCCCAAAGAAGATTTGATGTGTCTGTTTTGGCTTTAAGTAGGCTCAGTTTGTATCAGAGCAGCCTGCAGTGTGTTTATGAAGCAGAACAGCAGGAGCTGGACAGGTTCTGGCTTTAGATGGGCTTAAACTTGAACTGGGTCAAGAAGGTTTTCTTTCTTTTTTTTTCTTTGTCACTTCAGTAGAAAACAAAACTAAATATTAGTTTATTTAGTTTATTTATTTCTTCATCATCAGTGACATTTTTTTAAGTGAAGAGAAAATAGAGACAGAAAGAAAAACAGAGAGAGAAGTGATTAGAAAGATGGAAAGATTGAAGTAGCGATTAGAAGTATATTAAATATACACCAACAAAACACAGGACCACACAMYCRRMATCTGTCCGCTCACCTGAAAAATAAATGGATAAATACATGGAGGGCATATATAAAAATATACACATACCCATACATACCCATACATACATACATACCCATACATATCATCATAGCAGTCGGGGAATGGGATGGGAATAAACACCCTGACACCCACCCCCCACCCCCAGATGTACTGTTGGTGCGTGTTGTTCTATAGAGTAATTAAAAAGGGTAAGAAGAGGCAGAGGTCGGCGTGGTGCCAGTTTCTTTCTATCACTGTTCGTTTATTATTTTTTTCTTTCTCTATTGTATTTATTCTCCTAAAAGCTGGCTTTCATGTTCAATTAAATCTCCATGAAACTTACAACAGAAACTCCCAGATAAAGTGAGACAGCTGGCAGCTCACTCTCAGCCCTGCTGTGTGGGTCTGCACCTGGCGTCTGATCATGAATTATAAACCAGTTCATTTATCCAGGAAAGTTTTGTTTAACATTAAATGTCCAGCACAGCGTGACAGGACCTGTTCAGACCTGTTGCTGTGATTCCATCTAAACTAACCTTCATTAGGAGTTGGTGTGGACACATTCAGGGTGGAGTGCAGGTGTTTTCAGGCCACATCCTGGTGACGACGGCAAAGCAGCACTAATGTTTTTGCTCTGTGTGTGTCTGTCATGTTTGGAAAACATCTGGAAAAACCACTGGATGTAATATTTATGAAACTCCCAAAAAGTAACCGCTGGATGTCCAACTCTTAACTTTTGGAGTTAACACAGGTTAAGATGAATGCCACAGCTTGCTGACCTTAAAAAAGACAAAAAATGACTAACTCAGTAAATTTTACAAATTTTGAACTAAAATTTGATGTGACAGTAGCTGTGAATCATACACAACTGAGACAGGGCTCTGAAGTTTTGATCTGAGTTTGGAGTGAGATTTTGAGTTGCTAACAGAGCAATCACTGTTTTGAATGATGAATAAACAACTAAAGACTAATTTCTAATTTTTTAATTTATTTTGGAAAAAAAAGACTCAACTTAGACACCAAAATGACAGAAGTGTGTG